TGTTTTGTAATTTTTATCATGAAGATCTTTGACATCCTTGGTTAACTTTATTCCAAGATATTTGGTTCTTTTGGGAGCTATTGTAAATGATACTAATCTTCTTTTTTTGGGGGGTGGGGGACAGGCAGAGTTAGATAGACAGTGAGAGAGAGAGACAGAGAAAGGTCTTCCTTCCGTTGGGTCACCCCCTAAATGGCTGCTAAGGCTGGTGCGCTGTGCCTATCCGAAGCCAGGAGCCAGGTGCTTCCTACTGGTCTCCCATGCAGGTGCAGGCGCCCAAGCACTTGGGCCATCTACTGCCTTCCCAGGCCATAGCAGAGAGCTGGACTGGAAGAGGAGCAACCAGGACAGAATCCAGCTCCCCAAAGGGACTAGAACCCAGAGGCACTGCTGGTAGAGGATTAGCCTAGTGAGCTGCGATGCCTGCCAATGAATGATACTAATCTTAAAAGTTCTTTCTCAGGGCCAGTGCCGCGGCTCACTAGGTTAATCCTCTGCCTTGCGGTGCCAGCACACTGGGTTCTAGTCCCGGTCGGGGTGCCGGATTCTGTCCCACCTGCCCCTCTTCCAGGCCAGCTCTCTGCTGTGGCCAGGGAGTGCAGTGGAGGATGGCCCAAGTCCTTGGGCCCTGCACCCCACGGGAGACCAGGACAAGTACCTGGCTCCTGCCATCGGATCAGTGCGGTGCGCCAGCCACAGCGCTCTGGCCGCGGCGGCCATTGGAGGGTGAACCAATGGCAAAGGAAGACCTTTCTCTCTGTTTCTCTCTCTCACTGTCCACTCTGCCTGTCCAAAAAAAAAAAGTTCTTTCTCAGACACGACATTGTCTGTACATACGAACACTATTGATTTTCTGTGTTGATTTTGTATCTTGACACTTTACCAAACTCTTTTATGAGTTCCAATAGTCTCTCAATTGAGTTTTTTGGAAATATTATATAAAGGATCATGCCATCTTCAAATAGGGAGATTTGATTTCCTCCTTTTCAATTTGTATTCATTTGATTTCTTTTTCTTGCTCTGGTGAAAACTTCCAGGACTATATTGAATATCAATATTGAGAGGGGGCATCCTTGTCTGGTTCCAGATCTTAGGGAAGAATGTTTTCACCTTTTCCCTGTTCAATAGGACACTTTCCTTGTGTGTTTTTTTTTTTTTTTTTTTTTTTTTTTTTTTTTTTATAGATTGCCTTGATTGTGTTGAGGAATGTTTCTTCTATATCAAATTTTTTTAAGGTTTTCATCATGAGATGATGTTGTGTTTTATCAAATGATTTCTAGGCATCTATTGAGATAACCATATGATTTTGTTCTTCAGTTTGTTAATGTGCTGTGTCACATTGGTGGATTTGCAAATGTTGAACCATCCCTGCATACCAGGGATAAATCTCACTTGGTCTGGGTGAATGATCTTTCTGATGTGTTTTTGGATTCAATTAACTAATATTTTGTTGAGCATTTTGGCATCTCTGTTCATCAGGGATATTGGTCTATAGTTCTTTTTCTCTGTTGCATCTTTTTCTGGTTTAGGAATTAAGGTGAAGTAGGCTTCATATAAGGAGTTTAAGAGGTTTCAGTCTCTTTCAATTGTTTTGAATAGCTTGAGAAGAATTGGAATTAGTTATTCTTTAATTGTTTGGTAGAATTCCACAGTGAAGCCATCTGGTCCTGGGCTTTTCTCTGTTGGGAGCGTCTTTATTACAAATTCAATTTGCATCTTGGTTATGGGTCTGTTTATGTTTTCTTTGTTTTAATGACTCAATTTTGGTAGACTGCATGTGTCTAGGAATCTATCCCTTTTTTCTAGGATTCCCATTTGTTGGCATACAGATCTTTGTAGTAATTCCTGATAAATCTTTTCATTTCTGTGGTATCTGTTGTTACATTTTTTTTTCATCTCAAATTTTATTGCTTTGTTCTTTTCCCTCTTTTTTTTTTTTTTTGTTAGTTGCACCAGTGGTTTAACAGTTTTGTTAATTTTGTCAAAGGAATAGCTCTTCATTACACTAATATTTTGTAGTGTTTTGTTTGTTTGTTTATTTCTTTTCTAATTTTAATTATTTCTTTCCTCCAACTAATTTTAGGTTTTATTTTTCTAGGCTTTTGAGATGCATTGGTACCTTTGTGATATCTTGATGGAGGAACTGATTGCTATAAAATTTCCTCTCTTAACACTGCTTTTATTGTATCTCATAAGTTTTGATATGATATGTTATCGTCGTCATTTGTTTCCAGAAATTTTTTTATTTCTATTTTGATTTTTTCTATGACCCACTGTTCATTCAGGCACATGTTGTTCAGTCTCCATGTGTTTCCATATGATCTAGAGACTGTTAAGTTTTTGATTTCCAGCTTTATTACATTATAGTCCCATGTGATGTATGGTATTATTTCAATTTTTTTTTTTAATTTACTGAGAATCGCTTTATGGCCTAGCATATGGTCTATCGTAGAGAAAGTTCCATGCACTGATGAGATGAATGTGTATTCTGCCCCATAGGGTGAAAATTCTGTGGATATCCGTTAGGTCCATTTTGTCTATAGTGTTGATTAACTCTGTTGTTTTATTGGTGATTTTCTGTCTGGTTGATCTACCCACTGCTGAAAGTGGGGTATTGAAATTCCCCATTACTATTGTTTTGGAGTCTAAGTCTCCCTTTAAATCCATTAATATTTCTTTTAAATAGCCAGGTGCCCTGTAATTAGGTGCACATACATTTATAATAGTCACATTTTCCTGTTGAATTGATCCTTTAATCATTACAAAGTGCCCTTCTTTGTCTTTTTTAACAGTTTCTATGTTAAAGTCTCCTTTTTTTTCTGATATTAGGATGGAAACATTAGCTCTGTTTTGGTTTCTGTTAGCATGGAATATTTTTTTTTTCCATTCTTTCAGTTTCAGTCTGTGTGCATCTTTGTTGATGAGATGTGTTTCTTGTAGGCAGCAAATAGATGGGACTTAATTTTTTTAATCCATTCAGCCAGTCTATCTTTTAAATGGAGATTTTCCTCAAATCTTAACACATAATCCTAAGAACAACTACAAAATAAGAGTAGGGTTATTGTTTTTATTTTTAAAGATTTATTTATTTGAAAATATATTTATTTATATTTATATATTTTATTTATTTATTTATTTGAAAGAGTTATAGAGAGAGGAGAAAAGACACAGTGAAGAATCTTCCATCTGCTAGTTCACTCCTCAGATGGCCACAAATACCAGGGTTGGGCAAGGCTGAAGCCAGAATCCACGAGCTTCATCAGGGTCTCCCATGTGGGTGACAGATGCACAAACATTTGAGTCATCTTCCAATGCTTTTCTCAGGGAGCTGGATATGAAATGGAGAAATTGAAGCATGGATGGGTGCCCATATGGGAAGCCATGTGTGTCAGGTAGCAGCTTAACCAATTATGCCACAGTGCTGGCCCCAAGAGTAGGATTATTGTATCCCTTCAAGAAAAGAGTGAATGACATTTATACTAATAAAGAAAATTGACCTCAGAATTACACAGAAATGTTAGACCTGGGATGCAAGATACATCTAATTCTTCATCAAAACTATGTCTCCTGCATCCTTCTTTTCACACAAGTTAGTAAGGTCCGTATTAGAATTTTAATATTTATATTTAAGATCTTACTCTGGGAGCAGGCATTGTGGTGTAGTTTGTTAAGCTTTACATGAGCTGCCCACATCCCTTACAAGAGTGCCTTGGTTTGAGTTCCACCACCTTCTGATTCCACTTTCCTGCTAATGCACAGCCTGGAAGGCAGCAGATGATGGCTCCGGTACTTGGGCCCCTGCCACTCACATGGGAGACTCCGGTTGAGTTCCTGACTGCTGGCTCTGGATTGGTCCAACTTTGTACATTTGGAGAGTGAACCAGTGTATGGTGTATGGCAGATCTCTCTCTCTCTCTCTCTCTCTCTCCCCCTTAAATAAATTTAAAAATAGATAAACTTAAAAAAATTCTCCTGAGTGCACTCATAAGGTGTTCTGGATGAGAGAAGTATTTGTTACTAAATAGCTCCAGGTCATTGAATGTGCCTCCGGCCTTACTCCTTAGATAATGCAATGAGAGCCTCATTTCTTGTGGTCTCCAGTAGCCATAGGCCAAAAATGAAGAACGCATCAGTTTTTTTTTGTTTTTTTTTTTTTTCTGCTTGAAAAGGGGAGTGAGAAAGTTGTGCTACACCATCCTAAGAGAGTCTCTGTGGAGACCTCCTGAGTGGTGTGAATAAATCTCTCAAAGGCCAGACAGTCCACTTTTAGGTCCTTTGGGTGTTCTAAATGCTGTGACTTGTTCACCTTGATAGATAACATAAAGCCGTGGGGTCCTAGAGTCCCCAGCACCCTTGGGCTTACTCTGGATGTAAGCTTCAGGCCCTTAGGGGATGATTAGAGATGTTTTATTGTCCTTTAGGATGAGAGCAACTAACAAGACAAAGGGCAAAGGATTTACTTTTCTGGGTCTGTGAAAGGGAAAGGATTTTTTTTTTTTTTTAAAGAACATTGATTCATTCAAGGAGATATTTTTGTTTTAAAGATTTTTTAAAATTTATTTGAGAGGCAGAGTTACAGACAAAGATAAACAGTGACAGAGACAAAGGTCTTCCATCCACTGGTTCACTCCCCAAACGGCTGCAACAGCTAGAGCTGAGCTGATCCGAAGCTAGGAGCCAGGAGCTTTTTCCAGGTCTCCTAGGTTGGTGCAGGGGCCCAAGCACTTGGGCCATCTTCTGTAGCAGAGAGTTGGATTGAAAGAGGAGTAGCTAGGACTTGAACCAGCACCCAAATGGGATGCTGGCACTGCAGGCAGTCACCCAGGGATTCTTAAGGCGGGAGGCTGCATAGACTTTGAAAAAGAGAGCAAGTGAGATCCAAAGGACATGCCAGCTTATGGCACCCGTTAAAAAGATCCATGAACTGTTTTAGATTCCCAACAACTTTGCCACTCTGGAGAAACAAAAGGTTGAGAAGTATAAGACAAATGTAGGCCTAGCACTTTTGTTAAAGCTTTATTTTCATGTTATTAGTAAAAATACATCCATAAATAAACAACTTTATTCCAAGACCCCAAGAAGCATTGCATGATTAATGCTAACCAAGGCATTGTGCCTTACAAAGAAGACATAAAATGTCCAACGGATAAAAAGAACACTGTAGTTCTCAAAAAAATTCAACATCAGAAATGTTGACCACATACTATGAAAATCTTGTAATAAATAACAGCTGACATTCTTCTAAATAGTTACAAAAATAGATGTGCACACCCATTCCCCTGCCTGAACAGTGATCCGATGGTCCCTGTGTATGTTTGGAGGATTCACTTTGTCCCCAGCTTCTAACATAGTTATTGGCAAAGCTGTGGTCTCATTATTTTGCCTCCTCCAAAAAAAGCTTAATGAAAAACAACACTTAAAACTCATAATATTCAAACTAAATAGTCCAGACTCTACTACTTGATTTAACAGAAAATATGGTATTTTAAAATAACAATACAGTGAACTACCAAACACATTCATATCTTTAAATATCATAATCATTAATACATAAGCTTTGAAAAATAAATAAATACATATGTCAATAAATAGTGCATCAGCCATAACAAACAGTCAACATTAAGTCCAATGCAGCTGTGCCCAGGAGCGCTCTGTTTCACTTCTGTCACTGATTCCTTTTAGGATGTCCCTGGGTTCAATGTGGGATAAGCTTCCTGCTTTTCTCTAGGTCAGCTGGTGTTGCTTCTGTGATGAGAAAAGGGTACTGTTAGTAGGTACTCAAGAAATCTATGTCACAGCCCTCCTCTCCTGCCTGAATGTCTGACATTCTAGGGTTTTCCAAAACAGTAGTCCCCTAACCTGACACCAGGTGGCTAGTAACCTGTACCACCACTGCCCTGTGTAACACAAAACACTTAGCTCTGGGAGCCTGTGGTTACAACAGTACTATCAGCCTCAATCAGCAGAAACAACACGTGGTTAAAAATGTATATGCATGATCCCCCTTAAGCTGTGGGAGCAAAGCTCCTAGCAAAACATTTTATTGACACCTGAACTCAGGCGGAGTCCCCCTACAAAGTCCCTGCTCTTGGGGCCAGCGCAGTAATACAGCAGGTAAAGACACCGCCTGCAGTGCCAGCATCCCCTATGGGAGCCGGTTCGAGTCCCAGCTGCTCCACTTCCCATCCAGCTCTCTACTATGGGCTAGGAAAGCAGTAGTAGATGGCACAAGTCCTTCAGCCCCTGCACCCACATGGGAGACCCGGAAGAAGCTCCTGGCTCCTGGCTTAAGATCGGCCCAGCTCCGGCCCTTTCGGTCATTGGGCCATCTCTCTCTCTCTCTCTCTCTCTCTCTCTCTCTCTCTGTGTGTGTGTGTGTGTGTGTGTGTAACTCTGAGTTTCAAATAAAAAAAAAATCCAAAGTCCCTGCTCTTCACTGGAAACACCTAGAAGCCCCCTTACCTATAACCAGGAGTTCCAATTTTCGGGTCTGAAGCCCAGAAAGAACAGCAGTTGACACTGCTCCTTAATGGGCACGGGGCCTTTTAACGTCATTGGCCTAGTCTACTTAATCTTTTAGGAACTGATTCTGGCTCTTTCGGATATGGAGTGCAAATTACTAGGGACATCCTGCTGGCCCCAGAGCACAGCCGTGGTCCCGGTGGCAAATTGCACCGTGAAAGGAGCCATACTCTCTCGGTCCTGAGCTGCCCCCTGCCCTGTCCTGACAGCATTTCCAGGGGTCCCAGGGGTGGGAGCAGGGCCTGCAGCCGCGGGTCCCGGAGCCCCTCACTCACTTGCTGAGCATCTTCTGCAGGAGTTTCTTCACCATGGGGGAGGCGGGGTTGAGACAAGCTTCCTGCCCGGACTTGAGCGTGGCTCTGCAGAGAGACGGGAGGACCCGCGTGAGCCAGGGGTCTGGCCAGAGCAGGTGCGGGGCGTCGGCGGCGCGGAGCGGGCCGGGGCGGGACTTACATGACTTCGGTCTGGGCGCAGTGCGGGCCCGGCGACAGCACCTTCAGGCTCTGGATGCTCTTGAGGTGAATGCCCTGCACGGTCTGCAGACACTGGCAGCGCAGCTCGGTGAGCGCGGGCGCCCCTGCGGGGAGCGGAGACGCGGTGAGCGCGGCTGTGCGGCACGCGCGCCGCCTCTCCCCCAGAACCGTCCCGGCCCGCGGTGGAGGGCCCGACACTCACCTGCTGCGCGCCGGCTGGCGGCCAGCAGCAGCAGCAGCAGCAGCGCGGTCCGCAGGAGCCGGGGAAAGCGGGACGCGGCGGGGCACGCGGCGGGGGCCATGGGACTCGGCGGCAGGTGGCGGCGGCGGGGGTATCTGGAGCGAGGCAGCTGTGGCTGGTGTGGCCGTCCGGGCTCTGTGGCTCGCTGCGATCGGAGAACCCCTTTTATGCCCGTTCGGGGCGGGAAAAGCGGGAGCCCCCGGGCCAGGGAAATTCCCGGAGCTCCTGGTGAATCCCCGGGCGCGGAAGCGAAGTGCAGACCCCGCCCCAGGGCTGCAGCGGAAGGGACGCAGCCGGGCCGTCCGTCTAGCCCTCCAGCAAAACGGCCCCGGACCCTGGGGTCCTGGGGTCCAGGTATTCAGCTCCTCATTCCTAGGGGCATGAGTGGCCCCCGCAGGGGGGCACCTGAGCGCCCAGTGACCCCCACAGAGGGCAGTTTGGAGAGAGTCAGGTGTTTGGGTTGGAGGAATTGAGGCGGGTCTGAAGCCCAGAAAGAACAGCGGTTGACACTGCTCCTTAATGGGCACGGGGCCTTTTAACGTCATTGGCCTAGTCTACTTTCTCGGCTGTGACAAAAAACTCTCCAGTGCTGAAAGAGTTGATTTACGTCTGCGTCCACACACTGTTAAGTGCTCTGTCATTTCAGAATGAACAAAAGAAAGTTTGCTTTGTTCCTGGTATGTAACAAGCACCGACAATCATCACTCTAGGTGTCACATCTCTCCACAGGCGGCAGGGGAAGACCAGTGTCAAATGTTTCCTCCTGCGTTGAATTTAGGACAGAATGTTCTAACCCTACACTGCTTCCTTCCTCTGCGAAACTCTGGAACTTCCAAAACTCGAGGAAATCCGGGCTGCGGGGGGCGGGGGAGGGCACTTTTGGTGCCGGGAGCTTTGATGAGCAGGCGAAGGAGGCACGGGGTCGTCCTGGACCTGCGAGGCGAGAGCGGTGCGTGCGGCTCGCCGGTCCGCAGCTCCCAGTTTTGTGCAAGCCAGGGCAGGCGCGGCACGCGAGAGCTGACGCCTTGCTCGCTGGCAGCCAACGGACGTGTGGCTGTGAAACACGTTCTACATGGCGAATGCGGGCTCATGGATCTCCTCTGCTGGCTGGTTTTGTGGATACAAATCTCATTTCTCGTTCGTGTTGTAAGGACTTCTCTGCCTCCAGAGATTTGACTGCCTCCCCCAGAGAGACCGTCAGTCGACATATTTTGTCTCTACTGATTTCTAATCAGACAGTTAAATTGTGAACCCACGCCCTTGTCTTTCAGGAGCCCATCCTTCACCGTCAGTGTCACTGTCCTCTCTGGGTTCCAGGGAGGGAGGTTGGGTGAGGTTCTGGGTGCGAATGTGTCAGAGGCGTGGGGAAACCAGTGCGAAGGCGCGTGAGGTTGGCCCCGTACAGCTGTCAGAGAAGTGCAGGGCAGGTCTCTGCCCCAGGCCAGGAATCTGACCCAGACCCTGGTCTCTTCCTTTCCAGTTGTAAATGACATTTTCCCTGTCTGGGTTGTGAAATGGAGACACATGCTATTCTTCATCCCCAAATGGCTGTTATGATGAATGTGCTGATATTTGCAGAGCATTACAATATAGCAAACGTTGTAACTATGTTAAATAAATAAAATATAATTTTCTCTTTTTATGGCCCCTAAGCCAAAATTTGCCTAGGAATAAAAATTCCCATAAACAGGAAAATAAGCCTCCCATATAAAATTTTTCTATTTTTGTTTTTAATGCGAAATCTGGAATGAGTTTTTGTTGTCGAGTTTAATTCTTGGGTTACCTCCCTAGTCTAGTTGTAGTCATTTCAACCACTAAATGTGAATAAAAAGAAATATCCTGGGCGTAGTGGGTAAAGCTGGCACTTGCAGTGCCAGCGTCCCATAGGGGCACCAGTTCGACTCCCAGCTGCTCTACTTCTGACCCAGCTCCCTGCTATGCCCCGGGAAAGCAGCAGAAGATGGCCCAAGTCCTTGGGCCTCTGCACCCATGTGTGAGACCTGGAGGAGTCTCCTGGCTCCTGGCTTTGAATTGGTGCAGCTCAGGCCATTGTGGCCAGTTGGGGAGTGAACCAGTGGTTAGAAGACCTCTCTCTCTTTGCTTCTCATCTCTGTGTGTAACTCTGACTTTCAAATAAGTAAGTAAATAAATAAATCTTTTAAAAAAAGAAATATCCCATATCATTTATTGGACAATATTTATAAATGATTAGTTGGTGAATTACATTTTTTCTTTGGTGATCATCAGTACATCCCTGCAATAATGAGTGGAAGATTTAAAGGAAGATTAGGAATGTGAGGTTAGCCTGGTAGTTTAAGTGCCCCCATCTCCAGTCAGACTGCCCGAGTTCCATCCCTGGCTCTGATTCCTGATTTCAGTTCCTGCTAACGTGGACTCTGGCAGGCAGTAATGAGGACTCAAATGATCAGGTTCTTGCCACCTGCATGGGAGACCTGGATTGAGTTCCCAGTTTTGGACATGGACCAGCTGGGACCCTGTACCCTGTCCCTCTCCTTGTCCCTCTCACATAAATAAAATTTTTAAAAATTGTAAAGATTCATTTTATTTATTTGAAAGGGAGAGAGAGAGAGAGAGATCCTCCAACTCAACTTCTAGTTCACTCCCCAAATGACTAACTTTCAGGGCTAGGCCAGACTGAAGCCAGAACTCCATCCAGGTCTTCCCCATGGTTGGCAAGGGCCCAAGTACTTGGGCAATCTTCTGCTCTTCTGCTACTTGCCCAGACACATTAGCAGGGAGCTGGATTGAAAGTGGAGCAGCTGGGACTTGAACTGTGGTTTGGTAGGGGATGCCAGCCCTGAAATTTTTAAATTAAAAAATAGGATTTCATTTTCTTAAAAGGAGTAGAAAATGAAAGATAGTCTACAGTTATAAATCTATGACTCATAAATAATTGAAAATTAGTGTTAGTATTACTCTTGCCATCCCCATTTTTGTCTGGGATTCTTAGTAGGAAATACTGCATTTTCTAAAAATCATCAATTGTTAAGAAATTTAATAGCTATTCTTTAAAAGTTAATGCAGTTTGATTTTTCTGATTATAGAGGAATACTTGCTAATGTAGAAAAAATAAAAAGGGCAGGATAGATGAAGAGATTGTCCATCAAGCTTTTTAATCTTTAGCCCAAGGAGCAATCTTCAGCAGATCTTTGCATTTTTTTTCTTTCAACATCTCTATAATTCAGCACATTCTGCATGTGTTAAGATGCCGAGTAAATGTAAAACATTATTACAAATAACACTTTGTTATAATGGGCTATGTTTCAAGTCCTTACATATATCCAAAATTACTTCAAAAGTCTGTGGCAGGGAGCAAGTGTTTAGCCTAGTGATTAGGCCACCTGCGTCATGTATTGGAGTGTTCAGTTTCCATTCTTAGCTCCAGTTCCAAACTCCAGCTTCCTGACAACGTGACCCTGAGAGGCAGTGGTAATGGTTGAAGTAATTGGATTCCTGCCACTGATGTTGGAAACCTAGACTGTGTTTGTGGCTCCTCACTCTGGGGCTGACCCACCTCTACTACCAGGAGCATTTTGAGGGTGAATCAGTGAATGGGAGCTCTCATTGATTGTATATCTGCCTCTCAAAAAAATTTTTTTTAATTGCTTAAAAATAGTTTGCAGAAAATGCCTATTATGAAGAAACTATGCATGAATTTCTATTTTTTGCAAAAAAATCTTTTTAAATTCTACTTTCTATGAACTTTTTGAAGTACTCTTGTATACAAAACCCATTTAATTTTTTCATCTGGCTCATGAAGTAATTACTAGTTTTTTCTCCACATTATATTTCCCCTGAAGTCAGGAAATTTAATGAAATTTAAAATTTGAGCTCCAAGCAATGAAGCTTTATTTGCTATACATTAAACAAAAAAATTCTTCTGAAATAAGTGGATGATAACGTCAGGTCAGGAGAGTTGTTTATTTGTTTTTAATGTTTGTCATTTTTATAGTTCAACTTTACTTTTCCCAAAGCTTAAAAGCAACAGGCTACTCAGAAGTCCCCTTTGTTTCACTTCATTAATAGCAACAATTTCCTCTTGTGGCATGACAATGATGTACTTAATTTAATAAAAATGTGTATTTATCTATCTGCTTTTCCATGTCAATGTACTTCCCCTCCAAAATAGGATTAATAGAAATGACCACAGCCCCACAGCTTCCTGGAAGGAGAGAAAGGCATTTTATTTGGCTCATTGGTGGAGATAAGGATCACAATTATCTGCTGACCCTGGTACTTTATCAACTTTTAATAACTAACATATTTCGCCTTCAGCAACAGGCACTCTGGACTTTTATTTTCCTTACAACTTAAGAGAACAGAAAGTATTTGCTGCAATGGTGGATCTGTTCCAAAGCATTGGCCTAAGAAAACTCAAAGTAAATAGAATGAACAAAGCATCAGTACATTTACAGCAGTGAAAGACAAAACAGGAAACATTTTAAGAAGAGCCTCACATGAGGGGTCTCCAAAACGTTCATACAAGGGGGTGGCGCTGTGGGGTGGCGGGTGAAGCCACTGCCTGCCTCTCCGCCATCCCATGTGGACACCGGTTCATGTCCCAGGTACTCCACTTTCCCTCCAGCTCCCTGCTAATGGCCTGGGAAAAGCAACAGCAGGTGGCCCAAGTGCTTGGGGCCCTGAACCAACGTGGGAGACCCAAAAGAAGCTCCTGACTTCTGCCAGCAGTTGTGGCCATTTGGGGAGTGGGCAAGTGGATGGAAGACGTTTCTCTATCTCTCTTTTTCTCTCTTTCTTTCTCTCTCTCTCACTATGACTCTTTCAAATAAATAAATTTTTTTTTTTAAAAAAAAAGGATGCATGTAGAAAAAAGGCCATGAAGAATGCACCGGCAACCGTAATGGTTCCACATCACTGCCTTGATTCCCACTAATGCTTCAGCACCATCTGCAAATGTGGAAGCCATGAGAAAGATTTGAAGAATGGAAGGATACCAAGGAGTTGTTTTCAGAAAACATTTCTCAGACTCTTGGGGATCTCACCCAAGTAGACTCCACAGGCACCCTAGGGAGAGAGCCCTCTGTGAACTGATGGCAGGACTGGCCTGGGGAAGCCATGGGCACGTGTTTGTGGACTTGGCCTTGAGAGCTTATGGTCAGGGAGACACACTTTCTTCTGTGGAGGTCTTCGCTCTCCTTGTCACAATCCCCTTGGGAAACACTACGGTTCTACATCAACCTGGAGCTGAC